TTAAATAATTTGTGACTTAATGTATATGAATCAATGAGACCACAAGGGTATGACTGTTGCAGGACAGAAAGAAAGATAATGTTGTAGTTTACATATAGGGAATACATTCTACTCAACTTGTCAGTAGGGTGCGATCTCAGCACATTAAATTAACATTTCTGTTTGAAATGAACATGCTCATTGTCTTGGCTTGTATAAGCACTCTTGCTTGTAAGCAGACATAGAGCTAATAAATGAAGCAATAGACCTAAAGAAAATAACACTTTTTTTTTCATTCTGTCAAGAAATAGAAATGATCGTGTCGAGGGCTAGGAGATTAAATTGTGTCACTTGTCAGGAAACGGGCAAGCAGCCCTCCTCTGCACTTTGTTTTCATGCTGTGGACAGGTTTAATAAATGCACCATTGTGTAAAATGTCATTGCTGCACGGCCAAGCAAAGGATGTCGTGTGATAGCTCTTCCCTAGGAAGACATGTCAACATTGGTCATTGGCAATCTGGGGACATCAAACTACACTGAAGGCATTTTACGTTTCAGATCCAAGGGCAGAAATAAAACACATTCTTCAGAAGATGGAAATGTATCTATTTTTCCCAGAAGGAAAATTAATGACCTTTCTGTCACATTTTAATTTTTAACGCCAAGGAATGCTATCCAATCATAGCGACTGCTTCTAAAAGGCAAAATACCAGCAACTAGTAAGTTCTTCAAAGTTCCATATTACTCTTAATCAAATACCTGGAAAGGATGCATAGAACTCTACTACCGGTTACCACTGTATATATGTGAGCATGAAGAATAAAGACAACATACTTTGAGAAATGTTTGATCCACCACAAACTAAGCAAAGAATTTGTACAAGGATTTGGACATTGGGGTGGGTGTCATACTATGAGTTTTCCTAGCACTGTGTTTATTCTTAGCTTTTGAAGGCTTGGGGCTCAAGCTGAGTGTTCTCCTGAGCTGCTGAGTCTGCAGAGAACTGAGTTACTTTGGGAGTCTCACATTTTACCCAGTGTCTTCATGGATCTACTCTTCCATGGAACCTTCTCTATAAGTTTTTTGAGTTCCATGGCCTTATGTCAAATGTGCATATGTCAAGGGAAGCAACTGGAAAATGGGTGGCTTCAAAGGGACAAAGGCCACATAGTTCTGAAACCCAGGTTCTCTTATTCTAAATATTGCACTGTTTTCTAGGAGAACCAATGAGACTGAACCTCACTTTGGAGTCTGGTTTATCTGGGGAGAAATCTACTTCTCAATTTACATTGCTTTAAACCTGTACAACCGTACTATTTTGAGTTTAGTTTAGCATGTAAAAGAAAGTTTCTCATGCTTGTACAATTTCCAGAAACACACACACACACACACACACACACACACGTATGCACACACGCGTGCATATTTACATATTTATATCCCATCATTGCTTAGACACCTACTAGATATCTAGCAGCTTAAAAATGATATCATTTTCATTTTTAAAGTGACTTTTAATATCATGTCATGATATAACCAGTAGAAAGAGGACTCAAAAAGACAGGAACAAGAAACTTGGAAAGGACTCAAAGAATGAAAGGGGGCCAAAGGTCACGCAGATAGGCAGCTAAGGAAAAAGGGGAAGTGTTACCAGCATTTCTTGAGTACCTAATATATGACTGACAAAGCTTTGGACTTAAGGCAATCTCATTGACCCTTCAGCATGCCTTAGTGACATAGCCATCCCTATCGCCATCTGACAGAAGACAGCAATAAGGGAAGTTTCATTCTGCCAAGGTCAGTTCTGGTTGTAACAGGTACCAGAAACCCTGCCTTCCAAGTTTGCACAGTGCCCTTGCCTCAGTGTCTTCAGGACTAGTGCCAAACAAAGCACTTTTTGGAGCCTGTCACACCAGTCCTATATACCGCTCCTGTCACGCTGTGAAAAATGCTTACAGGGCATTAGTGTGGACCTGTGTATGATTCTTTCTTGACAGTACTTCAGACAGCTCATGATTTGAGTCAGGCCATTTTGATGTTTTATGTCAAACATTTTATGCCTTTGGGTGTCACTCTGCCTAGCCTTGCTTTCCTCCTCCATCAAATGAGAGTCTTGGAATTGGTTTCCTCCCCAATTTTAATAATCAATATTTAAACCATAAGCCAGATTTTCTGCTGATAGATGTCTTTGAACTCTAAATGTCTCTACATCAGTCAAGAATATGGGAGAGAGCAGCCTTATAATATTTGAAGGATTTATCAAAATGAAGGGGAGATCCAAGAGTTCTCTTATATAGACAAAGGATGTGCTCTAGACTAAGGACTGGGTATATCTTATTGTTGAAGGGAGGAAATTAGAACAGAAATTTTCAGATTTTTTAATGCACAACCGTGGGAGGTGACATTCACACATAGCCTGGGAGACCAGAATAAAGGCTAATGAACAAAGATTAGAATAAAGGCTATAAATATAAGATATAAATACAAATGTCCATGCATAATGAAGGTTCTACAAATGTTGCCTTTCAGGATGCTATGCAACTTAATTGTGGGATTAAGTTTTCATAAGATTTCCACTCATGACTTCAGGCAACAGAAGCAATTTGTCTCAGAAATGCGATTATCTATTCCTAACTGCAGAGCAAGCAGGTAGCAAAGGAACTGTAACATCTCAAACCCAGAGGCAGCGTTTATTAGGAAGTGAATGGTCCTTCTCTTTCAGATAGTAAACAGTTGAGCCTGCTGATCAAGGCCCATAAATTTCTAAAGTCTCATTCCCATAACCAGTTTGGTTTCTTTTTGGCCTGTTCCACCTTCATTGAAGTAGAGTCTCATGTTGTAGCCTAGGCTGGCCTGGCTACACCTTTAAAAGCCACCTTTTAGCTGAGGCTGTCCTCAAACTCGTGGCAATCCTCCTGCACCAGCATCTCAAGTGCTGGGATTATCTGCTGGGATTATCGGCATAAATCAGCATACCCAGCCCATGTCTGAACACAGGAAATAGAGCCTATCTAGGATTCAGCCCTAGCAAACACAAGCTCCTCTTGACTTAGAAAACTGCACGTCGTGTTTCAAACCCCTCACTGCTCAATGCGGATATTTCATCTCTGAAAATCATTGAGATCAACTTGGAAATTCAATTGTCACAAAGCATGCGTTTCATAGGGAAATCTTTTCTGGGTGAAACCACAGGCAAATGAGCCTGAAAAAAAATGCAGCTCTCCTCACTCAGCTGGAAAGATGTACTATCTAATGAAACCCCTGCACCAGAACAGTCTGACAGGGAACACACGACTTTGCCTATTTCAAAGGGAAAATAGCAGAACAGGTTATTCGTGTGTAATGAAAACAGACCGAGCCAGGGTGTGACACTTGTATTCCTGGTGCTCAGGTCACATTTCCCAGTGTGACACCACGCTGGCCAACGCTGTCTTTACCTACAGGACGGGTCTTCACTATCAGGCACACTGACTTCTTCACCAAACCCGAAGAAGGCTTCTCTTAGCTCTTTCCTTGGAGGCCTTGACCACCAGCTCTGGATTTAGCCCACTCAGTCCAATTTCAGACAGAATGGTCCAGAATCAATTTGGCAGACTTTCTTCTCCCTGGCATTACATTCTACCCTTTAATATCTTATTACTGTGGCCTCCCTTCAGCCAGGATCTTGTTTCTTTAGCCAGACTTTGTCTTACGGCTGATGTTTTTTCAAGATATTCTCTCTCTTGATATCTCACTCATCCTTAGCTACATGGTCACAGTCGTTTTTGTTGCATGCAGGTAAGCATCCTTCTTTCTTTTCCTGCTGTAAATTCTGCACCCTAGTAACCCTTCTTGAAAACTCGCCCTTATACTCTTTAATAAGCCTCATAAATTTCTTCCTTTAACATCCCCCGTATTATCCATATCAATTTTCCCTTTCTTCCTCTCTACCTATTCATTACTATCAAAGGCATCCATTCGGCAAGCATTTATTAAGCCGCTTATGTCTACATGATAGATGACGTAAAGATATAACCAGGTATGGTGGCATACTATTATAACCCCAGCAGTTTGCAGTTTTAGGCAATAGTACCACAAATGTGAGGGCATCTTTGCCTATATTGTGAGATTTTGTTTAAAAATAATAAAAAAATCTATTGATATAATTGAATCTTCTTGGCCTATATCGATCTTTAATCAGGTAGGGTCATATTATATATTATACATTATTATGTATTTTATAATATATAAACTATTTGTAGGATGGCTTCCATTAGCCTCTGAGCCCTGATTTCTTTTGTGTGTTTTAGATGTTGTTTTTAATTCCTGATTGCACTTTATATTATTTATTAATTGCTCCGTGTGTGTGATTGGTATTTCCACAACTTATTTCTAGGTTCTCACAGAGCAGGGCCTCGGCTCCAGCAGCCGCTGCTCCTCCCTGGTGCTACCTTGACTCGACTCCACCCTTAAACTCAGCACAGGCCTCTCCCCAAAGCGAGCTGCTTTTTTCTCTTCTCGCAGATAAATTTGCTCTTTCTCCGTGTTCCAGCTTAGATTGACGCACTTACTTAATGCCTTGTCCAATTATATTTTAAGACCTAGAATCTTGCAATAGGACAGTTTCTCTGACTCTCTCTAAACATCTATAGAACACCCTACAAAGGCTTTTGTATCCATGTCTGTAACAGCATGATTTCCTAATGTTAGGAATGGTGTTGATTCTAGATACTATATTGCTGACTCATTAATTAATATTATCACTCTTTCCAAGTAGACAGAGGACCCCACGAGGATCAAAGCTCTATAACCTCTCCGCCGCTGTCTGATCCAATGTCACATTTGATAGCTCCCAACATGCATAAATTAAATATGACTTGAAATTTAGCAAGTACAGAGAGGTTTGCAGAGTTACTACAGAAAGCTTTGATAACCTTCAAAGTCCAGAGTTTTAGAGAATTCTCATTCTCCAAAGGTACCAGTGTGACTCCCGGATGCAGCAGATCCACGCCCCAAGTCATTTCCATGCTTTCAGCCTTTACCTGAGTCTCCCGTCCTCTGCTGCGGCACCTCCCGGAATAATCTTCGTAATAAATATGCCAGGGTCATCTCCAATATGGGGATTATCTGTCCCTCCAGCAATACTGAATCCCAGGCCTGAATTTCCCTGTAGGAACAATAAGTGGATATTAAGTGATGTGCTGTCATCTAAAACCTAGCTCCCCTTGCTTTTGGTGTTATCGTGTTACTACTCAAATGGAAACATGGGGCTAGCATTCTTATACACAAAGTCATAAAGCTCTCTGTCAGCAGACAAAGCAAGGTCAGAACTCCTGTATCTTTGCTTTGCAGTAACTCAAGGGGTGGTGTGATTTTTACTTAACAATGCTTCTTTTATGCAGCAATTAAGAGAGCCATAAATTCATAAGAAAGAAAACTTGAAAATAAAGTACACGGGAAATGCAAAGAATCAGATATGAAAATATACATTCGCATGAGGAACAAAAAGAAGTTACATAAAAATCAAGATATATCAGAATAGTGAAATTTGTGTGGCTTTTCCTTTTTGCTTTTGCTTTTGATGCTCTATGGATTATTTGTAAATTAATGGTTCCTAGGTAACACACTCAGACATCAGAAGGCAGGGCCCTTTTCAAGAGTCACATGAAATGTTTTCCATGAGAAATAAGGTTTATTTGCAGTGGCAATAGGCAAGCTGTGTGTTACTTCTTCACCATAGAAGTCTGAGTAGTTCACATTCTAATAAACTTTCATACTTCTTTAGATTACAGTAATTCCATCCAATATTCATGTATCTTCCAAAAATAAGGCATAATCAAAGTTCCCTCAAAATTCACTTATCATCTCCGAACATTTCTTATTTACATATCACCATGGTTACATCCTGTCTGTACAATTGTGTTCTGATGGTTTTTTTCAGTTTATATTATATTTTAAGTCTTTTCTGTATGTGCAGGCACTTTTAAAGTTAACGATTTTAAATGGCAAATTAATATCTCATTGAAACCATATGCTATCATTCTTTAACAGGCCTTTTGATGGATATTTAATTTTGTTGATGCTAGTACAACAAATACAGCTTACTCAATTTATGACTGCTTGATTAAGTTTTACTCTGGGGTAAAAACAGATACAGAGTAAGAGCTTAACACTTAATCCTGAGAAATTAATTAGGGCACTCAATTAGTCATAAAACTTCAATGTCAAGATAAAGTCAGCTATAAATTGAACATTATGCTACAATAGATGTCAAGGTAATGCTTAGCCATATTTATTGTGAGTGTGCTGTGTGTGTACACAGGGGTAGGGTACACTCACGTGTGTGTGCATGAGCAAGGACCAGAGGAGAATGTTAGATGCTTTCCTCTATGATTCTCTACTCTTTCCCTGAGACATGGTCTCACTGAACCGGAAGCTTATGAATTTTGACCTAGGCTGGCTGATTGGCCAACAAGCCCTCCCCGTCCTTCTGTCTTTCTCATGCCCACTGCTGGGGCTGCAGGTGAGTGTGTCTATGCCCACGTGTGCTGCAAATCCAAGGTCTTCTTCCTAGGTGAGCAATGGCATCTCCCTGAGCAGCGAGTGCTCACATACACCTAGCGATCTCTCCAACCCGGACTTAGCACTTTTTGAATTTCTGAGTTTAAGAAAACCTTTAGAGGGCTCTTTCCACAGCCACACATTTGTATTGAAAGCTTAAAATTTAACATTCATTAAAAGCAAGTAAAATCTTACATTTTGGGTGGGCACCATACATGACAGATAATACGATTTGTGCATATGTGGGGACACACCCACACACCACTGAAATAAATTATGAAAAATTAGAATACCTGGAAAGATGGTTTAGTAGCTATGCCGCTCCTTCAAAGGACCTGAGTTAGGTTCCCAGGACCAATGATAAGTAGTTGACCACTGTTTGTAGCTCCAACTCCAGCCACACGAAAACCACAAAGCAGTTTTATTTCACTTGTTTTTGAATGGGTATTATAAAGACAAAAGGAGTGCTCAGAGAATATGGCAGAAAGATCCTTGTTTACTATTGTTGGGAATGCAAATTAGCACAGTCATCACATACAACAATTGTAAAGTCCTCAGCAAACTAACAGCAGAGCTAACAGAAGCATCATTGCATCCACTTCTTGTTATTCACCTGACACCTTTACATCAATGTATAGACACACAAGATGTCTGTCAAGATCTCTTTGCTTCCACACTGTGATCTGCACAATAATGAGCTAGAAGTCTGGACACACTCCTTCAATGCCATCATTAGAGGGTCTGAGGCAAGAGCATCATGAGTTCGAGGCCAGACTGACCAACACAGTAATATTATGCTTGAAATAAATAGCCAACTTTTATGATCAGAGTAAACGTACATCATGGGATCAATGGATAAAGAGAATTTGATATACTATGCTAGTCATCCAATAAAAAGGAAGTGATGTTATCATTTGCAATAACAGAATTAGAGAACACTATGCTAAGTAAAATATACAAAAGACAAAAAGATAAATATTGAATATTCTCATATGTGAATCTAAAACTTTTGATTGCAAAAATAAGGAAAAACACTGAAGATAAGATAGACTAGATAACCACATAACAATACGTGATTAAAGTATACATATATACCTTTAAAATATAAAAGAGGGAATGCAGATGACTAGCTATTAAGAATGAATATTGTCTTTGGGTTTCTATTGCTGTGAAAAGACTCCATGGCCACAACAACTCTTATAAAGAAAAACATTTAATTAGGGTGAATTGTAGTTTCAGAGGTTTCGTTTATTATCATCATGGCTGACAGAAGGCAGCAAGCATCTAGACATGGTGCTGGAGAAATAACTGAGAGTTCTGTGTCTTGATCCATAGGCAACAGGAAGTAAGCTGTGTGTGGGTTTGTGCACATGAATGCAGTATCCTTGGAGGCCTGAAGAGGTCGTGGGAGCTCTCAGGGTGGAGTTACAGGCGAGCTGACCAGAACAGCTGCCTGGAACCAGATTCTGGACTTTGTATGAATAATATGTTTGATGTTTGAATGCAGTTGGCCCCCATAAGCTCATAGGGAGTGGCACTATATGGAGGTGTGGCTTTGTTTGGGGAGGTGTGGCCTTGCTGGAGGAAGTGCATCACTGAGGGGGTGGACTTTAAGGTCTCCTATGCTCAAGTTATGCTCAGTGGAGACACAATTCACTTCCTGTTGGAGACTTATCTGGCACACAGCATTATCATTAAATATTTATGAATGAGTGATTAGTTGAGACATCAACTAAGAATGTACACAAGTGGTACTAAAGGGAAGACTCACACAGGGCAGAATAGATGTCCATAATTCCTTGAGAAATGCAGTGTGGAAACAGAAGCCATTTTATCCAACATGGATATAAGAGTGGAAATGGCAGAGCTTGAGTGTTCACAATGTGGCTTTAGCTCCAGAAGGGTTAGTGATATAAGGATGGCCAGATGGAAGAAGTGCTGGTTTTGAAGGGATGGGGGATGCTTCACCCAGATAACTCAAAAAGCATGAGGACTCAAAAGCCTACAAAGAATGAAGATGGATGACTTTAAGGGCTTCTTTAGGGATACTGACAACGTTTAAGAAAACTCCTCTTGTGATAGAGAAAAGGAAATGTTTTAAGGAATTTTAGAAGGGAAAGTTGGTCACAACTGTGTTTTTAAAACATCCTGTGACTCAAAAAGCCTTAAAAGCAACTGCCCTGAGAATGAGAGAGGAGCACTTAACCATTGTTTTGAGAACAGACTCCCAGAAAGAGCATGTGATGATTCTTCTCTCCCTACTATGCATTTCCCCGTTCCCAAACCCACGCCAAGGAAAAGGATGAATGGATGGGGAATCCGCAACGGAAAGATGTCGATATAAACAGAGTTCTACTGGCCTGGAGCTTCTGACCTCAAGAATTCGCAAAAGCTTTGGTAGCCCTACTAAAATCAGTCCCCCAGATGGCCCTGCTTAGCCCGTGTATGTTTTCGGAGAGGTTTATCTGAATTTAGGTAGACACTGATTTGAAGCACTTTCCCTCCTCCCTTTCCTGTTCCTTCCAACTGTTGCCATCAGCCTGAAGCACACAGTGGATTGCAGCCTAAGGAAAAGCTGCCTGCTGCTCTCTGTTTTGTCGGAGTCATTTCCATCCCCTGACAACTGTCCCAGAGCTTCTGGGTGCAAGAGCAGGTCTCAGCTCTTCTAAGTGGCATCTCTCTATGGGAACGGGCTGACCTCTGGCTGACACTCTTAGATCCTGAAAATTGTGGCTAATAAATTGAATGTTGAAGTCCAACCTCATCAATTGAAACTAGAGGTGTCATGCCGGTTGGGGCAACACCTGTACACGGTTCTCGGTGGGCTCTTGTGGACTTGCAGTTGTGCGGATTCCACAATTGATGCATGTGACTGGCACGGTTCTTTCTCCTGGTTACCAGTTTTCCAGATTGGCTGACTATACTGCAAAAGCACACGGCATTGTGTAGCTAAATGGTTCTTCCTGCTTCACGGACCAGCAGCATCCCCTTTCCCCAGCACAGGTGACAGCGACATTTGCCAGTCACAAAACCCACTTCCCTAGAAAGCCTTCTATTTCTTTTTAAATTTATTCTTGAAGAAACATTACAAAGAGAAAGATAAGTCACGCTTTTGTATAATGTTCTGCAGACAGATTTTTTGTTGTTGTTTAGCAATTAAATTTTTATTGACAATACTATTTTTATAAGCCTGTTCTAGAAATTTATCCAAGAGAAATAGCTACAGGTATGTGCAATGCTTTGTTGTGCCATTAGTTTTTTTAAAGAAACACATGCACGCGCGCACAAACACACACACACACACACACACACACACACACACACATCCCTGAAATCAAACATCCATATAACAGGGACATGGTTCAAAGTAGTGTGCTGGGCTAGGGAAATCACTCAGTGGTCAGAGCAGATGCTGCACAAGTCTGAGTTCAAATCTCCTGCTCTTATCTGCAGTGTTTTGTGGTCAGTATTAGAGACTGAGATTGAATCCAGGACCTTGTGCATGCTAGGCAAATACTCTATCCCTAAACCACACTGCTGGCCCCTTTTATTGTAAGAGAAGTGTCACCAAGCTACACGGCATAGCCTTAATCTTGCCATCCTTTG